ATTAATTATTATTAAAAAAAAGAAAAATTAAAAAGGAAAGCTAGTTTATCTTTTACTGTATTTTGGATTCCATAATTTATTTTCTTTCAACCGAAAGAATGAAAAATGTTGTGATTCTTGTGAATGTTAATTTGCACCATTCTAGATCAGGATATGGATAACTCTCTCAATTAAGAGGTACGTAAGGGTAAGAATAAAGATGAAGTAGAAAATTCCATCGTCATCACCTTATCACTTATCCAGACAAAAAAAGTGGCACTATCATGATTATCACGTAGACAAATTGAGTATCTTGCGTTCATTTTCTTTTTCTCACACATTCATGGAAGATTGGAAAAAGTGCTGGAATATTGTATTGTCTAATAGTAACCATACATTCCAGCAAGTTGGAATGGTATGGACTATGGAGAACGTGATATGCATTAACTATTTGCATGTGGGATAGAAAATTAATGCCTCCCCCCTAAGAAGGGAAATTAAAACATAAATAATATCACGTGTCTTGGGTTCATTTATACGGTGCTAGTATATATCTATGTATTTTTCTTATATTTATTTTTTAAATTCTTTTCCACACATAAAAGTATTATATCTATAACCAACTCAATATTTGAATTAAAAATTTTTAATTTTTAATTTTAAAGTCTTAATTAATTGAGTCACACCTTTAAGATATTATGTACGTGATAATATATATTTATATTATTTTACAATTTAAATTATTTTATGTTGTGAAAAATGAACTATTTGGTAAAGGAAGGACCTCCTCAAAGGATTGATGTTTTATAGTTTAAAATAATTTGAATCGTAAAACATTTTTTATATAAATATAGTAAGAATTTATTTACAAATAAATTTTATGTATTATATTTATATACAATTTTAATTATTCATCTCTTTACTTTTTAATAAATATGATTTATCATAACTTTTAAATATGTTACGGTGAATTAATGACAGGGCTGGAACATTTGGTAGATTTGAAGTATATTAGTTAACAGGGGACTATAGACGAGTTAGAGTACTTCCCATTCTTATACTTACTGGAATAACGTTTATTTGGCGATTAAAAAAAAAAAGTAAAAAGTGGAGAAATCAATTAAAGAAAATAGTAAAAGTACTGAAGTCAAAAAACTTGTTCTTCTGCAGCCCTTTTCAAAATTTTTAAAGGCTTATTTACAAAAACGCAAATCATGACACACAAACGTGAGTTCACACGTGAGTTCACGCACCAGTCTTGAAAAGAAAACAAGCAACCCGTCGGTTCTCCCCTAACCCCTTAAAGCAACAGAAAAGATCTCAGTACGTTGGAAACTTGGATGATCTCATCAAATTTCTTCAGGATATTAAATTTGGTCACTCTTAAATATTAGAGAAAGTGTGATTGTGTGATATGTACAAAAGAGTGTCGATCAATTACTATTTATAATTTGAATTTTAATTTTTGAGAGTAGTCATGGATACCTTGGTAATTTGAATGACTATAATTTATAAAATTTGTGTTGGGAAGTCAACCGAACTTACTCAGGAGT